CTCCTGGGGGCTGGGCGGGGCAAAACTGAGCAAAAACGGCCCGTTCTTCGCTCATTTCTGCCCTCCCCAGCCCCAAGGAGCACTCTATAAGCTTCCTAAAGTCTCTGCACGGCCATTTTGGTGAAGGGGGTGGGGTTTCAGGAGGCAAAAAATGCTGTATTCAGTGTGTAAGACGCACCCATGTTTTCAGCCTCTTTTTTGGGGGGAAAGGGTGCGTCTTATACTCCGAAAAATACAGTACGTCTAAGAAGATGGAAGAGGTAGAACGGATATCTAGGAACTCAAATTCTTCTAACGAAGGAAATCACAAGGCCTTTGGGTCACATTCCAAGATGACAAAGCCTTTCCGAAACAGAGTTTACAGAATCACAAACCTGAGTGTTAGGGCATAGTTACAAAATAAGAAAAGATAAGTTCATGAATAGGGGTTTATCAATAAATCTTGAATTCACTTCTGAGTCATAAAGGACTATTTATAGCCTTGGGCCTCAATTTCTACATTTTCCTGAAATTTTTCAGTACTTGAAGATCAGTCAACAGCTAAAACTGTTTGACTATCAGACTTTAAAAAATCATTGAAGAGAGAAACAACCCTCAAGGCTGTCAGTTCAAAATAAAGAGATGCACATCATACAACTTAACAGCACCTTAAGAAAACTCCTCTCTTTCCTGGTGGCCTGTGTGCCTGTGTATTATGTCTTGGTTCTTTTTCATTTTACATGGGTATCCTGAGTTCTTATTTCCCCATATCCTATGTGGAAATGAGATGCTACTTCATCCACCAAACTCAACATTTCTACACATTCAGCCACTGATTTCCAACAGTGAATCAGAATTCAGTACAGTTGGTCTTAGAAGCTTTTCTATGATTAGGAATTCAGGCTAATCAAAGAAACAGACATCCCCACCATTGGAGTTTGAATTCCTTTGGAGGATGCTTCTGATTGACCCCTTGCACTTCCTATCTTCAAGGCTATCCCTAAAATCAATAGTTTCCGCATTCGCAATGTCTATGGAGGTAATGCCATTTAATTCTATGGAACAAACACATTTTTTATTCAACATGTGCTACAGGATGGTACCCTGACCCACCAAAAGAGAATACATTACAGAACAAACATAATTAATATAAATGCAGGGGGAAAATAATGCCAAATGAAACAGCGTTTATTATGTTATGATTGTAATATCATCCAGAGAATAGCCAGAGTAGGTAATGTCTGCCTAAGGATGTTCCAACTGGTACTGTGAAGGTTCAAGAGAAGTACCAGGCAAACCAAATTAAGTAGCAACCTGTTTTCCTTTAATTTAGGTTTCTCCTTCATCTGATCAAGCCACAGATGGCACAGAAGTGGCATATACAACTGTAGGACCAACTCAGCCTTTTGCTTCTCAGTCTCAGGTGCTTTTCGTTATTCAATTTCGTTAATGCTTTTAATACTTCTTATCAATTACATTTGCAATTGTGTTTATCGTGTGTGTGTGTGTGTGTGTGTGTGTGTGTGTGTGTGTGTGTGTGTATATATTTGGTGCATTGGTAAGAAATTCATTGTGATTTTTTTTCTAAATAAACAAAACCCAAATGATTGGTGAATTCGTCCTGGGAATGAAGCCTGGGAAACTTTCACCCAGCCAATCTGCAACCAAACCCAGCTTATATTCTGACAATGGGCCTCTCAAAAGTCATATCTGTATATGGAATGCAAAATCAGTCTTAATTGTTCCAGGTCTACAAAATGTTTACAGAGTTTAAAGGCAAATGAAACATCAAAAGACAACCTTCCTTTGACAAATGTAAAAGGAGATAAAATATTACGGGCCATTAATTCTGCAATTCTGGAATTCCTTAAAGTTGTATCCATGTCACTCTCAAACCACAGTATTATCCTACTATTGGAATTTCCCAGTGTTACGCTAAAGAATATTCCCATCATCTTATTTGTTTTTCTTTCCTCTTTCTTTGGTCACAGCAAGAAATTGGGAAGATCAGTTGAAAGATGTTCCCCATGCCTTTCCTTCTGTAGAGGTTCCAAAAAGCTTCTTAAAAGTGAATCTCTGCACCACAATTGGCTGACATATCTAGATTTTCTAGGGTGCCATTAATAGGCAAAAGTTCCCCGTCCCATCATATTTGACTCTAGGGGGTGGTGCTCATCTCTGTTTCTTGCCTGAGGGAGCCAGCATTGTCCAAAAACATTTTCAGTGGTCATGTGGCCAGCATGACTATATGTCAACGCCGCACAGAATGCTGTTATCTTCCCACCGGAGTGGTACCTATTTATCTACTCACATTTGCATGCTTTTTAACTGCTAGGTGAGCAGGAGCTGGGGCAAGAATGGGAATTCACCCCATTGCATGGCACACGGATATCAAATTCGGGCTGTCAACTTTCCAGCTGACATGCTCACCGTCTTTAATCGCTGAGCCATCATGCCCCCTTACTATTAATAAGTTCTGACAATTCAGATGTGCAAATTATGTAAATTGAATGCATTCATTAAGAATTTTGCAGTTATGACCATTCCATGCTTTCTTGTTCATCGTCTGAATTGCCAACATAACGCTTCTGGGCACCATTTTGCCTTCAAATACCTCATTTGGTTCTTTATTTTGACTTGAAATCACCTACTCAGAAAAAAAGCCACATTAGGCTGAGGCTGGCATGAGGGCAACTTCAGCAGATTATATCCTGGTCCATGGGCCTTTCTGAATGGAATATCAACACCAATTATGACAGCTATTTTGGAGATTGCCCATAACATCTTTCCAAAATTCCACATTTACTGGAAAGACCTGAAGCCAGGAGATACTGTGAGGTAGATGTCTTACCAGTGGGGAAATAGATAGTTCCAAGGCTCCATAGACCACAGCATTTCAATAATAGAGAATTGTTTTACTGTGACCATTTTCAAATACTTTTGATCACTCTAGTAACTAGTAACTAATAATACATGCTATATGTTAACCTTCTAGGTTTCTAAAAACAGAGAAAAGATTGATTATGCATCCTTCAGATTTTCTACCTTAAGTGACCAACCTATCTATGCTAATGCGTGAAAAGAAGACAATCAAGCCACGCCAGAGAAGTTCTCCTTATATGAACTGGGGGGAAAAGGATTCAGAACCTTCCCTGACCTTCTGTTCCAGCTGCTTCAACAGAAGACCGCAACCCTTCAGCATCGCTTACATTACTGCAGAGATGCGATAAAATAAAGCCCATCTTTTTGACCTAAGTAGAATGGCACTCCAGAGCCATCTTCAGGGACGTGTGTTCAGCCAAAGTCTCTAAAAACTGTCCTCCTGGGCTACAACATCCACAGTTCCCCAGCCAAGCAACCCATGGGTTTGTGTCAGGGATGGGTTCTAGCCAGCATTACTGCCTTTTTGCTCATGCGCACACTTTGTGTGTGCGCGCGCTGGATGTGCACTGTGCACGCATGCACAGTTCAATGGAAATTGTTCTGTGCATGCGCAGAACTCCCCAAAAAGATGTCGGTGGCAACAGCGATGACTGGGGAACTGGTTCAGGGGCGTAGCCAGCTTGGGTTGCTGCTGGTTCTGCAACCAAGGCCAGCATATCACTCCCAGTTCGGCCAAACTGGGCCGAACTGGTAGGAAGCCACCTCTGGTTTGTGTGATATGTTTTGTAGTTCAACACTTTGAAAATCCCCTGGATTTGCTCCTCCCTTAGGACAATCTTGCCAATAGCCTCAGGATTCATTCAAGCACATGGACTATTTAAATCCAGCAGAGTACCTAAGCAATTCTGCAGGTATCTGTCTGATTAACCTGGCAGGTAAACATCCTTGCTTAGTTTTTCTCTCTCTCCATCATTTGTAGCAGAAGGAAATAAAAGCTATAGATTTCTTCTACTGGTGTGAGACCACCTGTATTTGGTTCTTGTTCTTATTTCAGTGGATTGTTGAGTTCCAATCAACCAAGAAGATTTGGGCTGTAATGTAAAATATCCGCACCAAAAGACGTACAAGTGGTTAGTAGGAAGTTAGTGGGTTTTTTGGCCCAGGAAACTTCAAGGTCCCTTCACCTGTGGGGAGCAATTCCCAAAGGAAATTCCCAGCCCTTTTCCAAACAGATTCTTGGGAACAGGCACCAAAAAACTTCCCCAAGGTGAGAAGACAAGAGTGGCTGAGTTATCATAAAGAGAAGAGTGAATGAAATGCCCATGAGAAGAAATAATCCAAAACCCTAAAAGAAGTAGAGCCTGGAACCAGGATGAGAAGGCTGGGCATGTGAGGGTGTGAGATCCTACAGCTTTCTGAAGAAGAGTTAGAATATGACTTTCCCAGAAGGCCTTTAGGGTTTAGCGGCTTTGAGTAAGTAGTCATCGTCAACCTCAGCTACTTTAAGATATGTGGACTTCAACTCCCAGGATTCCCCAGACAGCCACTGTTCACTATAAACTTACAGTAATTATGCTGTTACAATTACATTATACANTACATACATACATACATACATACATACATACATACGCGCTCCAGATAAATAAATGAATTAAAGCCCTACATGGTATCGGACCTGGGTACTTGAGAGACCGCCTCCTGCCAATTACCTCCCTACGACCGATCAGATCCCACAGATTAGGCCTCCTCCGAATTCCATCCGCCAGCCAATGCCGACTGGCAAATCCCCATGGAGGGCCTTCTCTGTGGCTGCTCTGGCCCTCTGGAACGATCTCCCAGTGGAGATCCGGACCCTCACTACCCTCCAGGCTTTCCGCAAAGCCATGAAGACCTGGTTGTTCTGGCAGGCCTGGGGCTGATGAAATTCCAGCCCCACTTGAATCATTATGACTGTTGTTGTTTTTACTCTGTCTATCTTTTGTCTTATTGTATCCCCCCTTTCCTCTGGTTGTTAGCCGCCCCGAGTCTCTCGGGAGTGGGGCGTCATACAAATTAAATAAACATAACATAACATAACTTTCATATTATATTGATTTTGGTCCAAAATATCACTTATTCCTACATTCATTCCTCAAATTTGTATTGCTCACCATAATTAAAAGGCTCTCATAGATCCTTGCATAATAGATTGAGAACTAGATTGAGATCCTGTCAGTTAGAACCTAGTAACATAGCTCAACGTATTTTCTTAACCCTGAAATTATGACAATTCTTAGATTTCATAAACAGCAGCACTGTGACTGCAGAGAGGTATCCCATTAATGGTTAACTTTCAGCGTGCTGCAGCATAGTTTATTCATAAACTTTGGACTGTCTGTAGAATGTATAATCTTTCAAAATTAGGAGCCATGGCGGCACAGTGGTTAGAATGCAGTATTGCAGGCAATACTCTTCCCACTTCCAGACGTTTGATCCTGACCAGCTCAAGATTGACTCAACTGAAGAAGTATGCATAGTTAGCATGAACAAAGCCTTATTTTAAAAGTCAGAATTTTTAGAATGATTGGAATACACTGTTTGAGGATTACAATATGGTACCATAACCAGGGAAGCAAAATACAGGGATAATAATAGGAACAAAATTGTATTTATTGGTTTACTTCAAATAGGGAATGTCCCGTAAATGAATATGAAGGGTTTGCTGTTTCTATTCCTGTTCCTGAGCACAGTGTTCCTGAGCTTCCTCAGTCTCTAACTATACATATTGATTGGCAAGATCTGCATGAAGATTCTGTTCATTATATTGCATAATGATTTTTTTTTTAAAAAAAAATACAATACTGTGGTTAGTATAGCAAATTTGGGGATTTGTAGATATAAAGCCAGCATGTATGGCCTGGACTTCCGCTCTGTATTTAAAACTCACATTGGGCTGCTCTTCTGCTTAAAAATTCATGCTACAGAATTAAAAATGCCATAATATGATTAATGATGGCTTTCCATAAAAGGCTTTAATTACAGAATGGAACAATATATTTCACTTGGAAAGTTTCCAAAAAAATCACATTAGATTCCATTATTGCAAAGACATCCTGACATCCTATCTCTTCCTTTGTCTTTGCTTCCCAAATTGTCCTCATTAGAATTGGGAAATAAACACAGGCCTAATGGTTATCCAACATCTGTGTTGTGTTTACAATACAGTAGACCCCAAACAAAACTATTCTTCAAAATTTGCTGACAAAATGAAAGGGTTGAGGGGTGTTTTTTTTGTGGCAAAGCTGTTCTTTATGGAATTCTATAAATAAAACCAAAGCCTGACATGAATGTCCCATAAAATTCAGCACTCGTGCTTACTATCTAGGACTTGGGAACACTGCATATATTTACATTCACAGTTAAGAGTTCTCTTCGATAATATTGTGCTGCTATCTTACCCAACTCAAGACTAAGATTACTTAGAAGAGGCTCAACAGTACTAATTTAGGGGGGAAAGAACAGGCAGGTTTATATTAGAATTTCTTGCATGAAAACAACAGAGAAATTAAGCTACCATGACTGAGTTCACTGAGTTCAAGTTGATGAGGTTAGTTAGTCTCAACTTCCTTTCTTTCTTTTTAAGTTAAAAGGAAAGGTTCAATTGCAATTAACACAATTTCTTTTAGCAACACTGATCTCATCCTCTCTCTCTTCTTCTCTTAAAATAAACTATACTTAAGGAGACCTGCAGATTCTTGGAAGCCAAGTATTTATTTGCCCCGTTCAACCAACTTGCAAAGTAACATATCTACAGTATAATATCCCTTTAAAATGACTTTTCAGCATTTACCAATCCCCTCTTTTCAAAAGTGCAACTTCCTTGTTTATGTCTAGAATATTATCCCTTTTCCATCTCTATGTTCTCTCCCACCCCCAATCCCAGATGTACATACCTTATGCAGTATATCTTCATTATAGTAACTGGAATTTTGGATACCAAACTCATTGGCACCCAGCTCCGAGTAGGAATAAGGGCACCCAGCCCCACTCTGATATCCCCAGTAAGTCTCCATTCCTTTTTTTTTTTTTAAGATGAATTTTCTTGCGCTAGTGCTAAAAGCAAACGGCTCTGGGCCAAACCTCAATGCAGCAAGCAAGCACAGCTCGCGCCTGCTAGATCTCCCTGCTAATCCGGAAAAGGAAAAAAAGTGAAAATGGAACAACGGTGAAAACAAAAAGGGCGGGTGGGTTGGGACGCAAGGTCGCAAAGAGCTAAACAAACTTGTAGTCCCGGAGCTTCGGTATGGTTCGAAAGATCGCGGAGCGCTTTCAGCACCAAGGTTAGCTCCCGTGTCAAGATTGGAAGGGTCAAAGCAGCGGGCCCGCAAAGTCCGAAAGCTTCGTAACCTTTCCAGCACCGTTCATATAGCACCAATCTGCAGTACTGATAGCACGGCATCCGAGGTAAACTGCGGAAAGAGAGAGGGGGAGGGGGAGAGAGTGAGAGGGAGAGAGGGAGGGAGGGAGAAAGGAAGAGAGAGAGGGAGGGAGGGAGGGAGAAAGGGATACACTGCAGTCAAGCTTTCGGCGCGGTCCCTTTAATTTTCTAAACTTGAATAAGCATTGAGTCTTTCCCTCTTACATCACACTGCCCCTTGGGTNTTTAAGATATGTGGACTTCAACTCCCAGGATTCCCCAGACAGCCACTGTTCACTATAAACTTACAGTAATTATGCTGTTACAATTACATTATACAGTTTATTATACAGCTACCCTTGCTTTATACTGTTCTTTGTAGCCCAATTCTCTTAAAAGATTAATATGGCAGGAAAAAGGCTTTTAATGCTATACAGGTAGTCCTCAACTTACAACAGTTTGTTTAGTGACCATTCAAAGTTACAATGGCACTAAAAAGTGACTTATGACCGCTTTATGACATTTGCACCATCCCCATGATCATGTGATCAAAATTCAAACACTTGGCACTGAAGGTTGCAGTGTCCCAAGGTCATGTGATCACTTTCTGTGACCTCCGGCAAGCAAAGTCAATGGGGAAATCAGATTCATTTAACAACCAGGTTACTAATTTATAAATGGCAGTGATTCACTTAACAACTGTGGCAAGACAGGTTGTAAAATGGGGCAAAACTCACTTAACAAATGCCTCACGAACATAAATTTTAGGCTCGGTTGTGGTCACAAGTTGAAGACTACCCGTGTTTCCTAAACATCAAGCAACAGCATTCATTTTCAGACATAATAAAGATACTTATACATCTAAGGCAGGAGTTTTCCTCCAGAAAAGTTTAGAACCTCAGCCTGAGTCACCAATAAACCTCATAATATGGCCCAGAAACATGCTCTCACCAAGGTTAATGTTAATATCAAAACTGATATCTTGCACTTAGGCAAGAAAAACCAAATGTACACATATAGTCTGGGTGAAACCAGGCTTAATAGCAATGGCTGTGAGAGGGATCTTGCAGTCTTAGTGGATGGCCAATTAAATAGGAGCCAGCAGTGTGTGGCAGCAGCCAAAAAAATCCAGTGCAATCCAAAAGTTGCATTAACAGAGGGATTCAATCAAGATCAAGTGAGGTACTAATACCACTCTATAAAGCCTTAGTAAGACCACACCTAGCATACTGCATCCAATTTTGGTCACCACACTACAAAAAAGACATTGAGACTCTAGAAAGAGTGCAGACAAGAGCAACAAAGATGATTAAGAGACTGGAGATTAAAACATGAAGAACAGTTACAGGAACTGGGCATGGCTGGTCTAGTGAAGAGAAGGACCAGGAAAGATATGATAGCAGTGTTCCAATATTTGAGGGGCTGTCACAGAGAGGAGTGGGGGTCAACCTATTTTCCAAAGCACCTGAAGGCCAAACAAGGAATAATGGATGGAAACTGCTCAAGGAGAGATTCAACCTAGAAAACAGGAGAATGAGAGCAATCAACCAATGGAACAGAAGTTGCCTTCGCAACTTGTGGGGGCTTCATCACCTGAGACTTTCAAGAAGAG